AGCCCGATGCGGGGCTTGATCCCAGGACCCTGGGATCATGACCTGAGCCGAAGGCAGACGCTTAACGACTGAGCCACCCAGGCGCCCCGAAAAACTTGCTAAAAAGCAAAAATAAAAAAGCAAGATTAAACAGGTGAACCTAATTATATATTGACTTGATGGCATAATTGCACCAAAAGGAACTAAGTGCCTTTTAAACATAGAATTAATCTATACATGCCAGATAAGATATACTCCAAGGACATAAATAATTGCAAAGTAACTTCAGTAATCATACTGTTAATGATAATATTAGTATTGTGGACTCTAAATATTATATGATATCTAAATATGATATGATATCTTATTTTGGGAAGTTGGGAAGACTAGTTGTGTATTAGTTTGCTCAGGCTGCCATAAAAATACCACAGACTGGATGGCTTAACCAACAGAAATGCATTTTCTTATGGTTCTGGAGGCTGGAAGTCCAAGATCTAGGTGGTGGCAGGCTAGAACAATACTTTACTCCCATAGAGAAGAGACAAAACAAGATCAGCTTCAGTAGTAGGTATTGGCCCCCACAGCTAGCAGTCACTCTCTGCAGTTGATGCAGGCCATTGGTCTGTACACACTCCTCTTGTGCCACAGAATGACTTCATCTTGTCCCAACAGAGGACATATATATTAGTGGGGTTTTCTAGGTAACCTATGACACACAGAACTTTCACAGCAAAGGAGTACAAACCAAGTCTGAAACTGGGAAAGGTATTCTCATTCAAGGTAGTAAGTCCAGCACAGGCTGGGAGGACTCTAAATCTTGGTAAGAAAGTGTTCTAGGCCCAAGGCTGAAGGGGGGCTGAAAGACTATGCACAAGACTACCTTTCTCAATACATACTTTATTATTTCCTGTAGGAAGTACACATATGCCTCCCACCCTCAGTTAACTTGATAGATAAAACTTCTAGCTCTAATAACCAGTTTATAGGAAGTATATGGGATGGAAGAACCTGTTAAATGACATGCAGTTAGAAAATTCAAAATGTGGGAGACTGCAGGAAAAAAACAGTCCAGTTACTTCAACTATTAAATTGCAGTGGGAGGGGGGTAATTTATGTATTTAAAAAGATACTTAGATATAGCAACCAAAAGCAATGTGGGCACCTTGTTTGGATCTTAATTTGAACAAAACAACTAAAAACAAATAGTTGGGGAAATGTGACAACAATCTGTTTAGTTTTCCTTTGCTGTAGAAAAACTCAGTCCAAAACTTAACAACTTATAACAGTAAACATTTATTATCTTGTAGTTTCTGTGGGTCAGAAATTCAGGAGTGGCTTAACTGGGTCATCAGGCTCACAGACTCACAAGGCTGCATTCGTCTCTAGTTCTAGTCTTTTTGTTGTTGTTGTTGTTACAGATTTTATTTATTTGAGAGAGAGCCCAAGTGGGCTGAAAGGCAGAGGGAGAAGGAGACTCCTCACTGAGCAGGGAGTCCAATGCGGAGCTTAGGACTCCAGGATCATGACCTTAGCAGAAGGCAGACGCTTAATTGACTGAGCCACCCAGGTGCCCCTCTAGTCTTGAGAAGGATTCACTTCCTATATAGTGCTTGTTAAGATTCAGTTCTCTCTGATGGTTGACTGGAGGCCTCCCTTGGTTTCTTGCTACATGGGGTTCTCCACAGAGTGTTTCACAACATGGCAAGCTTCCTTTTTAAGGCTGAATAATACTCCATTTCGTGTATGTACTGCATTTTTGTTTATCTGCTTCTCTGTTGATGAACACTTGGGTTGCTTCCACCTTTTGGCTCCTGTGAATAATGCTTCTCTGAACAGGAGTGTGCAAATATCTTCAAATCCCTGCTTTCAGTTACTTTGTGTACCCAGAAATGGAATTACTAGATCAAATGGTGATTAAAGATCTCTTTTTTGATGAACAACCATACTGTTTTCCACAGTGGTTGTACCATTTTACATTCCCACCAGCAATGCACTTGTTATTTTCTGTTTTGTTTTTGTTTTTTGTTTTTGATCATAACCTAATGGATGTGATGTGGTATCTCACTGTGGTTTTGATTTGCATTTTCCTAATATTTAGTAGTGTTGAGCATCTTTTTGTGTTCTTGTTAGCCATTTGTACATCTTCTTTGGATAAATTTCTTTTCAAGTCCTTTGCCTATTTTTGAATTCTGTAGGTTGTTTTTTTTTTTTAAACAGAACAGATAAACACTTAAGTCTGCCTACTAGCATACTCACCATGGTGTATCATTGCTGTTTTTTAGTTTTGTATTTGTCACTGGATTTGAAGCTTCTTGAGGGCATGGACTGTGTGTCTTCTCTCTTTGTTACCTTGGTGCTGCTTAGAACATAGTAAGAAGTGAATCCAAAATCTGAAGGAGTTCTGTCATTTTGTATTCTGAAAATATACACTCAGATTCAGTCCTTAGATTTTAATCTCAAATTCTCTGTGGTATAGACAAATGTGAAGGAGAAAACCTACCAGCACTGTTCCCTCAAATCATCTCATTTCATCTCTGTTCAGAAACTATATTGATATTCATTCCTTACTCCCAAGTATTCAGAAATAACACGGTATTATAAAAATAAACTTGACCATATAGTAAGTCTTTATATTTCATCTTATATAAATTTTTAATGGGTACACATCTGAAAAAATATTTTGGTATAGATATTAATAGTGTGGTGTAACTAAGAATTTTAGCAAGTTTAGATGTAATAAAAAATTGTGGTTAAATTGTTAGTCTATGTTTAGGAAACATAATCTATCTTCTGTTTTGGTATTTGAAAGGTTGCTCTTTGATCAAGACACATCTCTTAGATCTGAATTCAGTCTCCATCCTGGTATAAGTGGAATGTACAAAGGTGAGAAATAATTTTTTTTCACTAAGTAGTCCCTTTAATTTGCCAAGTGTTATTATTCTATCAGCTTCTCCTTTTATGGTTAGTTTTGTTTTTAACTTTACACAGAATTAGTTTCTTATACTCATCTGTAATAGACCCTAAAGTCTACTAAGGTCTATTACTATAAGGATAGCAAAGGGAATGATAACTTCTGGAAGATGTTTATGACTCCTAGAGAGGCCATCAGAGATATGCAAGTGACACCCAGATAGCTCTTCCCCTTTACAAAAATTTCCAGCTTAACCCTAGAACTTGTTTATTTGCAAAAGTGAATGACTCTCCTCCCTCTCATGTTCTCTGTCTCTCATTCTCTCTCAAATAAATAAATAAAATCTTTAAAAAAAAAAAATAGAAAACATACTTTAAAGAAAAAAAAAAGAGAGAAAGAGATATATATAGAATGTTACTGCTTACCTAAGACTGGGTGACGGCATGTATACTCATATTGCTTATATTTTCAAAAACACATTGGAAGGATAAACCATACAATTTTAAAAAATGGGAAGTGAGAGAACAGATGGGTGAAAAGACAAGAAAGACTAGACTTCTCTAAATAGATCTTGTCTTATACATTTATGGTTTACATAATTATAAAACAAAATTAAACCAACATGAAAAACTTTTTTTTTTTTTTTTAAAGATTTTATTTACTTATTTGACAGAGAGAGACACAGTGAGAGCAGGATCACAAGCAGGGGGAGAGGGAGAGGGAGAAGCAGGCTTCC